ATAGAATACAGAATCTGAACCAGATGCGCAGATACAATTTATCGCTTGCCCGCGGGCTTGCGTCTTGCCATCAAAATAGTTAGATAATAATCAATAGAAATAGTTGCCACAAAATGTAAAAAAAAAGAAGCAGGAAGTGGAGAAAATTATGGTTATGCATATTACATAATGTCTACAAGCCTACAGCAACGGCGGTCCCCAATTTACGAGCCGCACTAAAATTAAATTGTACTTAATCCAAAATTCTTTAAACATTGAATAATATGAACATCATTTTTATCTTGTTTATTATTTCTATTTATTTTAAACTTGTATTGAATTACCAGTTGGACAGATAAATAGATATCAGTACCTACGATTATAAGTAAAAACGGATATTTAGATTCTCAAAAACTTAAAATACCTATTCTCTAGGTATTCCTTAAACTTGTAAATATGCAGATATTATGATTTTTTTTTTTTCTAATAGTTCATTGAAAACAATAAATAACTGTTATGCACAATTCCTTTGGTATCAGGTAAATTATTTAAACATAAAAAATGTTAATGATTTATGGTTTCCATTTGTATCATCCTTAAACCAAATTATTTTTATGGTCTAGGAAAAATTGTTGTGAGAATAAATCTCAATTCGAGAAATTCACAAAATATTTAATTTTTATGAACATTAATAAAATGTACCCTAAAACAAGAAAAATATACTAAATATTCTTTATGTCCAATATATGCTTAAATATACAAAATACATTTTTTCCTGCCAACTCTGTGATGGATAAATCATCCACATTTTTCATCCTCATTAAGTCAATCAAAATAATGGGTAAAAACCTTAAGATCTGCYCTCTAGTTATGAGTTTATTCATTTCCACTGTGTAGTCTAGTATATGCATTTAGACAATTTACTGCTGTTGTCAACATCAAATACACCAAWAGACATTAACAAGATCAAACAAAGAGGTACCATTTATCAACATCAAATCAAATACATTACCTAGTCAAAAACTAAATTAAAATATATCAATCTAATAATTTAATATACTATGCTAATGATATGAATGATTTGTATGAAATAAACTAAGTGTTGATTCTTAAATTATAATTATAAATTCAAGAAAACATTAATGTAATTAATAAACATTTTCCTACAATACCCTTTCTTAACAAAATAATCTTTCTCATTTTATTACTCTCCACTAAATTTAGTAAACAGTTGTACATTTTTATATTTTTAATTAATATCATTAAAAATGTGAGACAAGTAATTTTTAAAAATTACATCTGGCCCTTTCTAAGATCTTAGAGAAGACCACTGGTCTTCTGACTACTAATCATGTTTCCAACTTTGATGTTAAGTAAAAAAAAATTGGATATAACATAGAATAGAATATAGATACTAAAACCCTTGTTGAAATTCAGATTAAACTTTTTTTGTAAAAATATTCAACTAACAGCTACTTCATCATGTGGTTAAGGGTGAATAATAATTTATTCATTATTAAGATTTTCA